TACCTGAAACCAGGATATCAAAGAGACTTAAAGGCTTAAACACCCCAAAATAAAAATTCTGTCATCATTTACTAACCCTCATGTTGATTTTGAAAGATTTTATAATTTTTTTTTTTTGTACATACACTGGAAGTCAATGGTAACCAAAACTGGATAGACAGACAACACAACGTCTTCGGATTCAGACAGTTTTATTTTGCTCTTACTGAGATAAAATCATCAAAGCTTCCCTCAAATGCACGCTGCAATTCACTATTACACAAAACAAAATTAATATATATTATACATGGATTTGTAAGCTCACCGTACATTACATGAATACACACATCCTGTGAGAGCTCTAATTTAATGCAAAAATAAATGCACAGCTGTTTGAATTGGCACTCTGCATGGGAAATATATAAGACCGCACTGTTGCATTTTTAATACATTTTTAGGCTTATTTTACTGTGTTTATATAAGCTGTTTGATTGGTTGCATCAAGGAGCTGTAAAAACCAGTTACATTCACAGTGTGGATGAATCACATTTGTGTTGGAGACTCAAGGTCTATAGAAAAGACTTTTACAAAGCAACAACAAATACTCACTCTCAGTCTTTGAACGTGTCTCTGAATGTGTGCGATCTCACAGTCTGAAGCGTCTGTCATAGGAAATCAACATGTGCTGTTGTGAATAATTTAGCGAAGCAATCTTCTAATAGGACAGACACGCAGTCTCATGAATAATTACAATGACATGTCATCAAAGTACAACAGTGATTTGCAAGTCACAAATTGTGACATTGATGTGATGTAGATTATAAACATGTAAGACGAAAATGGTGCAAAAAGCTCAAAATTAACCTGTTTTCTCCTACTATTAAAATTAATGGATGCTAACACTGTCTTCTATGATGCTCAACATAGACACCTCTGTTAAAATCTCAGAAAATGTAATTTAGTGTTTCATGATCCTTTAAGGATGTTTTATGGATATCTTTACTGAAAAATTAGACTCTTTTAATTGTAAAGCAAGACTACAGCAGCCATATTGAGCA